AGAATGGAGAGGCACAAGGACCACAAGTATGGAGGAAGAATGGAGAGGCTCAAGGACCCTGAGTATAGAGGAAAAATGGAGAGGCCCAAGGACCCCGAGTATGGAGGAAGAATGGAGAGGCCCAAGGACCCTGAGTATGGAGGAAGAATGGAGAGGCCCAAGGACCCCGAGTATGGAGGAAGAATGGAGAGGCACACACTGCAAGATGCTTGAAGTCCAGTGTGAAGTTTCCACAGTCTGTGTTGATTTAGGGAGCCATGTCATCTGCTGGTGTTGGTCCACTGTGCTTCATTAAGTCCGGTATTCTGACTCAGATTGTTGTGATAGCGATTTATCCCTTGTGAGACCTCTCTGCCTAGCCTGTATAAGCAGATATAATCACTGTGGACAATCCTTATCAGATAGCTGAACTCACCAATACTGTGTTCATCCAGAAGTTGCTTTATTCTGTACATGTGACAACAGGATACAGCAGAATGAATGGTTTCCAGTATTATACGGTCAAAAGATGATACTTTCTGTAGCGTACTATGCAGAATACATGTGTCCCTGTTACATTTGGACTGTTAGCTGCCTCCATGACACAGGAAGTGCTGTACTCAAGAAGAAGGGAGGAGCTTCATATACAAAGGAACTGTGTCATAGATCTCAGGGAGGCAACATGAAAAACAAGTGCATTACCAAATAAGGCCACTGGATGGCAGCATAATAACTAACTATAGAAATATCCATAGGAAATGGTACAAAGAATAAACTATATGAATTCTCATGTACATTAACATAAATAATAACTGTGGCCCGTGTATCCCATATTTCCAAATAGAAAGTTTTAACAATGTTGTTGTCGAGTCATCTTCCTGTGATCTTTATGATAGATGAGTGAAGTAAGCTACTCCCGTCCGCGTGGATCAGACTCTCTTCGTTTTGTCTCCTCCCTCCAGAGTCAATTTACTGTCTCTCTCTTTGAGTTCGCCCCTCCCTCCGTTGTTGTTGTGGCGAGAGATAATCCTGTCTGGGGAGACAAACGCAGATGGAGAAGAGTCTGATCCATGGACGGGAGTAGAGTTGGCTAATACGATCACATGTCCATTCTATCAGGAATGACATTCACGAGGTCAACGAAACAACAACTATTGTCCCTCCCGCGCCTTTGGAACATTCCCCCCGCTAAGCCCCCGCAATATGTCCGCCCGCCATGTTAGAAACATGTCGTCAATATTCGACTCGAATTCCACTTCACCTACTTCGATTCGCTCATCTCTATTTACAAATGCCAGACGGGGAGTATGCTGTTACACAGTTAATATTTATGTTATGTAACAATGAGTAATTCATATAGTTTTTATCTCTTGTGATCCCATTTCCTATGGATATTTCTATAGTTAGTTAAATGCTGCCCATCCCTGTGGCCTTATTTGGTAATGCACTTGTTTTTCATGTTGCCTCCCTGAGATCTATGACACAGTTCCTTTTGTAATATGAAGCTCCTCCCTTCTTCATTGAGTACAGCACTTCTATGTGTCATGGATGCAGCTAACAGTCAAAAATGTAACAGTGACACACATGAGATAGACTCTCATAGGTACGCTACAGAAAGTATCATCTTTTGACCGTATAATACGTGGAAACCATTCATTCTGCTGTATCCTGATTGTCACATGTACAGAAATAAAGCAACTTCTGGATGAACTCAGTAATTGGTGAGTTCAGCTATCTGATAGCATTGTCCACAGTGATTTATTATATCTGCTTTATACAGGCTAGGCAGGAGAGGTCTCACATAAGGGATAAATCTGCTATCACTACAATCTGAGTCAGAATACCGGACTTATATGAAGCACTGTGGACCAAACACCAGCAGGATTGACAGTGGCTCCCTAAATCAACACAGACTGTGGGAATGGAACTTCACACCTGGACTTCAAGCATTTGCAGTGTGTTGCCTCTCCATTCTTCCTCCATACTACTGGGGGGTCCTTGGGCCTCTCCATTGCTTTTCTCCATACTCAGGGTCCTTGGGCCTCTCCATTCTTTTTTCCCTCCATACTTCGGTGGTCCCCTTGGGCCTCTCAATTTTTCCTCTATTACTCAGGGTCCCTTGAGCCTCTCCATTCTTCCTCCATACTTGTGGTCCTTGTTGGCCTCTCCATTCTTCCTCCATTACTCGGGGTCCTTGGTTTCCAATGAGATGCAAAAAGTTGCTCTCATCAGAAAAGTAGACTTTGGACCACTGAGAAATAGACCAGGTCTGTTTTTCTTTAGCCCAGGTAAGGACGACTTTTTCTTATACGTTGACATTTGAAGCCCAGGGTCTAGAAAACCGGTTCAAGCCCATTATTCAGGATGTGTGCCACATCGGTGGTGGCTCTTGTATGCACTGACGTCAGTCCTCAGTCCACTCCTTGTGAAGTCCCCAACACTTTTGAATGGTCCTTGTTTCCTGACAATCCTCTCCAGGCTGTGGTCATCCCTGCTGCTTGTGCACCTTTTTCTTCCACACTTTTCTTTTCCCTTCCGACATAACTTTCTTGATTAATGTGTTTTGAGTACAGCACCTTTGGGGACACTATTCCAAATTCTTTTTCAATTTCCTTGTGAGGCTTTGTCCCTCCTTATGGAGGGTTGTCATATGATGGTGTCAGGATCCAGCAGTCCTATCCCCCATGATTTGTGATTCCTTAGCTGAACCAGAATCTGAAGAGGACTCATTTAAAGTCTCCAGGTACCCTTTGCAGGTGTTAATGGCTTAATTAGCTGATTAAGTGAGGACACCTTGAGCCGAGAATATTCCACCCTTTTTCCACAATAATTTCACATTTTCCTGAGATTGGTGGATTTGGGGGTATTCGATGAGCTGATAAGCCCATATATCATCACAATGATTTGACAAACCATCGGCATTGAACTATATTAGCCTTTGTATGTATTGGAAGTCCGGTATCTGTATCATATATTAGTTTCACCTTTTAATTTTGCTGCACTGAGATTTATGAACTTTTTGCCACCTATACTCCGCATTTTTCCGATTAGTTTCAGACATGTTAAATCCCGTACCAGTTTGTAAGATTCTATAACTTTCCTGGCAGGCTTAAAAATATGTAAACACTGCCTTGGGTTATGTTTTCACTTAAAAAATGATATGTAGCAGAAGATAGTTTTACCCATAATAACATTGTGAATGAAAGCTATTTCATTTTTGCAAAAATTTTTATTAGAGAAGATGAAGAAAACCCCGCTTTTAAAACCAATCCATTTCTCCTATGGGTACAAATGTTTGTCATGACCACAGACTAGAGTGTCATTAAATAGCATAGAGAGTGGCTGATAGCTGAAAATTGGATAGGGGGCAGGAGCGGGGGTAAAAGTGCCGTATTGAAGTGGGTTAAACGACGAAAAAAAAAAATTGCTCACTTATTACGAAGGACATTGAAGTCAAACCAGACTCTTTTCACTTGTCCAGGTATAGTATAATGTGGATGCTAGTTTTGGCGGTACTACTAGTAGTACTTCAGTGGGCAAGTGTGTGACTGTTATGATAGGCTTGGACGTAACATGGTCGTGGGCCAGTCCAGAGAGCGTTTAATAAAGATGGCGGACAACAGTGTTAGTGCAGTGCATGGAACAGCATGTGCAGTGATTCTTGTGAACGAAGGCGGTAAAAACCGCGGAGACGTTTCAGTGCACAGTACGATGATGAGACCCTCAGCTGACAGTAAGAGTTTTGAATGGTGTAAATGTTCATTCAAAGATGGCCATCCGTCCATCAGTGATGATCCCGGGCTTGGGGTGGTTCCCAGTCCACTGCAGTCATTCCCGTGTACATTCAGCACGTGTGGAACGCCTGGGTCCTGGATCATCGATCTTGAAATTGCACAAGACGAATCTTTCTGTGTGAACGAGTGAAGTTTGTGGAACAAATGATGAGGAAGGTGAAGCCTGGCTGTCCCTAGGATGGGGTCAGGCTGACAAATCTTTTTCTATGTCGAAGCTTGTCAAGGCAATAGTTTACACGCTGGGATAAATCGGTATAATTGTAGCAGGGGAGTATTTAAAAAAAAAAAATGCAGTTTCCACCAGTTCCAATTTGTTCTTTTATTATATAACTCAAAAGTTCCGGATTGACTTGAACGCCCCTCGTTAGGTGAACAATATTGTACTATTGACAAGCAGAGAGGATGGCAGCACCTTTAGGCCAATACAGACAAGAAATGGCGCAGTATTAAAAACACAAACGCCTCCATCCAGATTACCAGATCTATTTGTACCCTGTTCTGTTACAAGAGACTTTAACAAATAACACGTGTGTTCATTTTCAGGAGATAAACCCAGTTTATGGAGATGAAGATGGAACAAGCGTGTTATTAACTGATCTGTAATATTTATGGAACAAACCTGATCGGGATCTTCGATGTACAACATAAATCCCGTGCTGGAGTCCTGGACACATCATAGACTCTAAAGTTGGCTGCTGTGAAAAAACATTTTGTTATTTTGTGGTTTGGCGTCTACTACCCATTAGCTGACACTCAACGAAATTGATTGCTACACACGGCCAAAAACACTTCATTTAAGAACCCCAGGGGCCTGTGTAGTGCGCTCTGTCCTTCTGCCCCATTGTTGGTCCTCATTATAACTCGCTGGTATTTGTAGCTATAATTGCTGCTGCTGTAAAATACAAAAATAAAAAAACAATCTGTCCGACACAGTGGGGGGGGGGGGTATTAACAAAGAGTGGTGCAGGCATAGAGTCTGTGGTACTCATCTAAAACCAGTGGTCTCCAAACTGCGGCCCCGGGGCCAGATGTGGCCCTTTGATTGCTTTTTATCTGACCTTGAGGCACTATTTCACCCAGTGATACCAATAATTGGGGCATAATTCTCCCCATAGACACCAATGAAGGGCACAATTTATTCCAATGACACGAACGATGGGGCACAATATCTCCCAATTACACCAATGATGAGTTACAATTCCTCCCACTGACACCATCAATCAGGAGCTCTTCCTCCCACTGACACCATCAATCAGGGGCTGACATGATTCTAATTCCCACTGACACCAATGATGGGGCACTATTCCCTCCCACTGATACCAATGATGGGGGCACTATTCCTCCCACTGACACCAATGATGGGGCACTATTCCTCCCACTGACACCAATGATGGGGCACTATTCCTCCCACTGACACCAATGATTGGCACTATTCCTCCCACTGATACCAATGATGGGGCACTATTCCTCCCATGACACCAATGATGGGGCACTATTCTCCCACTGACACCAATGATGGGGACACTATTCCTCCCACTGACACCAATGATGGGGCACTATTCCTCCCACTGACACCAATGATGGGGCACCTTATTCCTACTCCATGAACCAAGATGGTGGCACTATTCCCCCTAAACATCCAGGACCTTTTCTACACCATAAAGTTGGCTAAACCCTGAAGGTTTAAATTGGCCCCTTGTTTAGAGTGGGTTTTGCAGACCCCTGATCTAAACCAAGAAGATTGAGCAGATCCTGCTGCTTGCTCTGATCCCCGCTGACCTGAAACAAGTCCATCTACTTTTATTATTAATGTGTTTCATGCCTCTTCTGTCAGTTTCCTGTACTTGGTGAAAAGTATACCTTATGGCGCGGGGCTCCAAGCTGTGGATGGAAGGAAAAGGTCACCCCACCGGGAAGTGAGAAGAGGGGGCATGAGTCCGAGCGATTCCAGTGTCAGCCAATACAAGTGAAGGGATGGACGCTACTCAATGACCCCAGGAGTCCACTGTTAGGGAATGGCCTCAGCTTCCATTTTGGCCACGCCCTCTGATGTGTTTCGCCTGCCCACCTGGGGCTTGGTCACAGAGGCTGTGACCAAGACCCCAGTGGGTGGGGCAAAATGCATCAGAGGGCGTGGCCAGAAAGGCAGCTGAGGCCATTCCTTAACATTGGACTCCTGGGGTCATTGAGCAGCGTCCATCCCTTCACAGTTTCTTCTGCTATTACAATATTGGGGAAAGCTTTGTTATCCACTTTGTGATGATCTTACACATTTATACATCCTCATGGAGGGGGGTCTTTATCCGTGGGGCTGTATATACATGTACTGCTGTGTTTGTGCTGAGAGAGCACTGCACAGTGTGCTTCTAGGGTAGAGACCAAGCTGTTAGTGACAGCTCCAGGTCTTGTACTAACAATTTGGGAATCGGGAGGTCTGGTTTCTGATCACCTGATCATTGTGATAGCCTCTGATTGGCTTTCACTGTACAGCCCGTTCCAGTGTTTTCTCCTCTTGAAGGGAGAAAAGGATACATTGTATACGTACAAGATACATTACATAATCCATTGTACACATACAGGATATATTATATAATACATTGTAAACATAGTATAAATATAGTTACATAGTTAGTCTGGCTGAAAAAAGACAAAAGTCCATCCAGTTCAACCATAAAAAAAAAAAAAAAAAGTTATAATCCTACACCCACAGATGATCCAGAGGAAGGCAAAAAAAACCAGCAAAGCACGATCCAATTGCTCCTGCAGGGAAAAATTCCTTCCTGATCCCCCGAGAGGCAATCGGATATTCCCTGGGATCAACTTTCCCTATAAATGTTATATCCAGTTATATTCTGTGTATCCAAGAAAGAATCCAGGACTTTCCTACAGCAATCCACTGAGCTGGCCACAACCAACTCTGAGGGAGTCTATTCCACATTCTCACAGCTCTTACTGTGAAGAAACCTTTCCGTGTTTGGAGATTACATTTCTTTTCCTCCAGACGTAAAGAGCGCCCCCTTGTCCTCTGTGATGACCTCAGGGGAATAACTACACCGAGTTCACTATATGACCCACTGATGTATTTATACATGGAGATCATATCCCCCCTTATGTATTATACATGGAGATCATAATCCCCCCTTATGTATTTAACATGGAGATCATATCCCCCCTTATGTATTATACATGGAGATCATATCCCCCTTATGTATTTTATACATGGAGATCATATCCCCCCCTTATGTATTATACATGGAGATCATATCCCCCCTTATTATACATGGAGAATCATATCCCCCCTTATGTATTATACATGGAGATCATATCCCCCCTTATGTATTATACATGAGATCATATCCCCCCCTTATGTATTAATACATGGAGATCCCCCCCTTATGTATTATACATGGAGATCATATCCCCCCCTTATGTATTATACATGGAGATCATATCCCCCCCTTATGTATTATACATGGAGATCATATCCCCCCCTTATGTAATTATACATGGGATTCAATACCCCCCTTATGTATTATACATGGAGATCATATCCCCCCTTATGTATTATACATGGAGATCATATCCCCCTTATGTATTATACATGGAGATCATATCCCTCCCCCTTATGTATTATACATGGAGATCATATCCCCCCTTATGTATGATACATGGAGATCAAATACCCCCTTATGTATTATACATGGAGATCATATCCCCCTTATGTATTATACATGGAGATCATATCCCCCCTTATGTATTATACATGGAGATCATATCCCCCTTATGTATTAAACATGGAGATCATATCCCCCCTTATGTATTATACATGGTGATCATATCCCCCCTATATGATTATACATGGAGATCATATCCCCCTTATGTATTATACATGGAGATCATATCCCCCCTTATGTATTATACATGGAGATCATATCCCCCCCCTTATGTATTATACATGGAGATCATATCCCCCCTTATGTATTATACATGGAGATCATATGCCCCCCCTTATGTATTATACATGGAGATCATAAGCCCCCCCTTATGTATTTATACATGGAGATCATATCCCCCCTTATGTATTATACATGGAGATCATATCCCCCCTTATGTAATTAGACAATGGAGATCATATCCCCCCTTATGTATGATACTTGGGAGATCACATCCCCCTTATGTATTATACATGGAGATCAAATATCCCCCTTATGTATTATACATGGGAGATCATATACCCCCCTTATGTATTATACATGGAGATCACTATCCCCCCCTTATGTACTATACATGGAGATCAATATCCCCCTTATTGTATATACATGGAGATCACATCCCCCCTTATGTATTATACATGGAGATCCACATCCCCCCCGTAATGTGTAATATACATATAGATCATATCCCCCCTTATGTATTATACATGGTGATCATAATCCCCCCCTATGTTTTTATGTATTATACATGGAGATCCATATCCCCCCCTTATGTATTATACATGGAGATTCATATCCCCCCTTATGTTTTTATACATGAGAGATCAAATATTAATCCCCCCCTTATGTATTATACATGGAGAGTCATATCCCCCCGGGATGGGGGGGGTGTGTTATGTATTATAACAATGGAGATCGTAATCCCCCCTTAAGTATTATACATGGAGATCACATCCCCCCTTATGTATTATCATGGAAGAATCATCATCCCCCCTTATGTATTATACATGAGATCAGATCCCCCTGTGGGGAAACATAGAGCTAGGTCTATTGAGTCAGGTATACCAATTTGTATTCATTATGCATCATTGTGATAAGAGTTAGAGTGATGTTTTAAGTAGATGAAATTATGAATGTCTTAAGTAAAGGATTATATGAAATGTCAGCATTTATTTCAAGCTTATATGGAAAATTTTAATATGTGTCTGTATGTAAACAGGTACAACCGCAAAGTAACAGGACGAAACGCTAGACTGCAGGTGTCTGCAAATATCGTAGAAAACATAGATAGATGCTCAAATTAAGGAGATTCCCTTGGGAACCACAGCAGGCAAAACGACCAGAAGGTACTGACTGAGGTTAACAGGTTTAACAGTTTAAGGAAAGTTGAACCTTTGTCTGGTATCTCCCCCCCCCCCCCCCCTGGGTAAAATACAAAAGGTACGCTTTGCTATTGGATAGTTAGGTTTTACTTTACCTATAGGATAATTACTTAGGTTTTGTCTTACATTGGATAATTTAGGTTTTGTCTTAATCTAGTTGGATAATTTGGTTTTGTCTTACTATTGGATAATTGGGTTTGGTGGTTTTTTAATATACCTTTATAAACTGAAATGTACGTAATAAACTTTGCAATCTTCCTGTATCCTACTTGTGTGTTTGGTTACTTGGATTGGACCGATCGATCGAGCCCGTGCCACACCCAGAACCGCCCGCGTGGCAAAATAAGAATAAAGGATTCCAGGAAAGGGGGAATACCTTACAGACAGCTGGTACCACGAAGTGGGTTCCGAAAATCAGGTGAGTAATATCGTTTCAATATACCTTTGATATATTATGATATTGCTTTCTCTGGGTACGGTGACGTCTCACGTGTAGTGAAACTGAAAGTAGTTTAGTGTTTCATAAAGGAGGGGTTCTGTTCCGCTCCTAAAGTAGTTTAGTGGGTTTCATAAAGGAGGGGTTCTGCTCTTGCTCCTAAAGTAGTTTAGTGTTTCATAAAGGAGGGTT